TATTGCACCGGCATGCCCTTAACATTAGCATAGTACAACGATTGGGCCATCGCAGGCCGCGATGGCTTCGCAGAATCACAGATTAAAACTTCGACCCGCCTATTGTCCTCCCCAATTCAGTGCTGCGATCGCTGCAGCGCGCTGCTAGACGATACATCACAAGCAACATGCCCTGCTGCTGCACAAGGTTGTCGAATTTGTGCACTACTGCTTCGTCAAGTGTGTTATGAAGGGCGGAGCGAGGAAAATGCAGATATTAACATAGTGCGACAAGGCTCAGCATTACGGGAAGAAATAACAGGCGCACATCTTCTCCGGCTTTGTCGTGATACAGGTCCGTCCTGAACTTCTCATGTACAAGCCAGAAACAATACTGACCCATACATCCTACGCAGCTGGCCAAGGTCAATCATCGAACGGCATTCCACTTGGCCTGCCAATTTCACGAACCGTTAACAACTGTCCGGACTTTGGGCTGCTGCGCGCATGGCTTGAATGGTGTGACAACAACCACGAATGCAGCAAGAATCACTTCAAAGACTACATGCCGTTGCCAACACGACTCCTCTACGTCGGCGCCGTGGACGACCCACCTGATCTCTTGCGTCTCGATCTTGGCTCACAGCTTCAAGCTGGGACGAAGTACATTGCCTTGTCGCATCGATGGGGTGACGACTTCGACAAAGAGGAAAAGACTATCCGTACATCCCAGGAAAATGTTGACGCACGACTTAAAAAATTCAGTCTGTCTGATCTGCCAAAAACTTTCCAGGATGCTGTCGAAGCGACGCGCCAGCTGCGCATCCCGTATTTGTGGATCGATTCTCTCTGCATCGTTCAACATGGAGATGAAGGCAAAGACTGGCGTCGCGAATTTAAGCGCATGGAAACAGTCTTCTCAGCCGCTTACTGCACAATTGCTGCGACTTCGGCTAAAAACGGGAACACGGGTTTTCTTAAGCGAGCTTGGAACACTGAATCTCTGTATGTTGAGAGTGCTGCGGGGCAGAAATTCTATGTCAGCACAGACATTGATGACTTTGACATTGATGTGGGGAAGGCGGAACTTAACAGGCGAGCATGGGTGCTGCAAGAAAGCGTGCTGGCACGACGAACGATTCATTTCACCGCTAAGCAAATTTACTTTGAGTGTGGACAAGGTGTCTACTGCGAGAACCTTGTTAAGCTAGAATGGTAAGTTCCTTGCAACATCTTGGCTAACAAGAGCCTGACTGTATCTCTCCAGTCAGCCATTCCGGAACAAAGACTTCACGCTCGATCCAAACTTTCCAAGCCGGCTCGTCTTCTCAGGTCCCGGAGACACTGAAGAGTTCATTCGCTTACTCATTCAAGACTACTCCGAGCGAGAACTCACAATCAAAACTGACAAGTGCGCCGCAATGTCTGGGTTGCATACTCGTATCGCTCGCACGATACACTGTGAAGGCAGATATGGTACTTTAGAGAAATACCTTCACCGAAATCTTCTTTGGCACGCGTCTGATCGCAAGCTGCAGAAGATAGAGCATGAGAGCTATGTGCCATCGTGGTCATGGATGGCATACCACGGAGGCATTCGCTTCCAGGATAAGACGAAGCTGCCTTTTGGCAGTGGATGTTGGGTTACCAGTCTTCGCTTCGACAAGGAGCGCGATTGCGACCATGCGTTAATCGCCGACGTAGGAGTGTTCCAGGATTGCCAGATGAGATTGGACGGTAGTCGTTATGCTGTTTTCAGCCTTTCAGAACCTGAGACAAACAGAGGATGGATCTGTTACGATGTTGAGGATGGCAAGAATCTGCTTGAGGAACACTGCATTGTTGTAGGAAGCATGGTGAACGGCGAGAACTACTACATATTACTTGTCAGACCCACTACTGAGGCCGGCGAGTATAAGCGAGTTGGGATGGGGGAGGTGGCAAAGAACTGTCTTGTGAGAATCCAGGCCAATGTGCGAGTGGTATGAATACACCGCGTTTCAAAACCATGGAGAAACGGGTTAATGTTGACCCAGGCGTATGCTTTGGTTTATAGTACACTAGTCCTTACGTTTGAATTTGTTGTAAGCTTTATCTGTCTCCAAACAAAGAGTCGCTGTGTATACGAAAATTAGTGCATCGTGAATTCAACGGCATTACGGGATAGCAGCTAATTGTCGGGTGACGCGGGCCAAGGAATCTGCATATGTGGCTTGTGGTAATTGGACGCTTCCAGGGCCCAGCCAGCCTGCGCCACAGCTCCAGAGACATCTGAGCACGCTATTACGGCATGCCAAGAGCAGCTGTAGCTCTGTGCACTGTCAGATGGATTTGACAATCTCGCTGTGCGCGCGGAGAAACTGCCGGAATATACATTCCCCACCTTAACTCAATCTTTAGAGGCTGCGATTCTAATCCTTAACATCTGTGCTTCCTTCATAGTCCTCCGAGTACTTGATAAAGATTCATTGTCGCGAACTAACAGGGGATACTAGGAGAGGGGTGGTAGACGCCATTAACAGAACGACTGACAGCACAACAAACACCGCGCTTTCGCTTATCGGAACCTAGCACACTTGAAGAATAATATGCGTAGGGTAAAGTGCGTCAAGCTCAACTTCACGCAGTCACGCTGGCTTGACGCCGAAGGTCCGGAAGGGAAAGTGTCCCGCCACACAGGGTGTCCCGCCACGCAGGGATGGACGTTAATTACTTACTTGCTTATTGTTTGAGTCTGTATTAGAAAGCTCCACGATGATACAAAATTCTTGAAAAGATTCGCGCTATTTCTACTAATGTCCGTCCTATTAGCAGTGACCTAGGGTGTCACGCTATGTAGGGAAGGACGTTGATTAGACTTAGTTTTGTATTAGCGTTAGTACGCCCCGTTCCGCGTTAGCGTTAGCACGCACCGTTCCGCGTTAGCATTAGCACGTACCGTTCCGCACTGGCGCTACTATGCACCGTTCCGCGCTTAACGTAACATATTCTTGTGTAATTAAATAACGTCTACTTAAAGCTAGCAGATAAGAGTCTAGAGACAAATAGGGCGTAAGGAGTGACAGGAGGCAAAAGAAGAGTAGAGGGTTATGTAGAAAAAAAGCGTGATGCCAGCAGTTAGATTAAGCAGTATAATATCTCTAACATTATGTGATGTAAATAAAGGAATACTTAAGTACCACTTTGCGCTGATGATGTTTGAATTTCGCTAACGCGTAAGATGGACTAATAAAACCACTGGGCATCCTTATATATCTAGGGAGAATCACAAAAAACCCTTATCATGTTGACCGCCAGGATTGGTTCAACCACGAAGTACCACTATCTACCTAAGCCCTTCTATTAAATCCTTTGCGAAGGCAGTTGGTATCTTATGGAAATTAAGAAACTGGACAATGATCTTGTGTAATGAGGGGATAGTTCTTAATTGTTTATCGATGAACGGTAGCGCATTTTGAAGAAAGTCGTCTGACTCCCTGAATAATCTAGAATTTTTGTAGTGTATAATAGTTTCTAGGGTCGATAGCTGAGCGTATTTGTCGCGATATAGTCTTAAGGTCTGTGTACTGTTGGTGGTGAGCTTAATTATTCCTGTTTGGCCACCCAAGCGTTCTGCGACCGGAAAATTGACGCATAGATAAGATAATGAGGCTGAATTTGCGGGACCAATGTAAGCTAAAAACGATTTCAGGAGGTTGGCTTGAATTGGCGTGATTTCTACGAGATGAAATTGATTTATTCTATAGAGTACTGCGCTGGATTCCGTGTGTATCTGTCGATTGGTACGTAGCAAAGCAAGCTATTGAAAAGGTCTGTTGGGCGTAAAGCTCTCTATAGGGGAGTTCGGCTCTTGGAAGATATAAATCGGACTTCGTAAGATGAGGAGTCTCTTGTAGATATTCTCGCGCGCCTTCTTTGGTAAATCGAAGAAGTTGGCCGTAGTTGTGCGTGTTGGAGATGGGTTTTCGTTCTGGCAGGAACCTATGACGAGTTGTGGACTATGGGACAAGGACCGCTCTAGTGTAAAGAAAGCCTCGCCGACTGTCGCAACCTAGGTAAACATTATAGAAGATTTCGAGTTGATTAGAAAAAGTAGGTAATTGATACTTCGACAACTTTGAGGGGCTGACATTTGCTAAGGCTGCCAACTTTCAAATTTTAAGATTGGACGATGATCTGACCGGCTACGGCGCTTACTGACTACTGAGATGACGTGTTCTACTAACGTTACTCTTTGTGTGCCGAGAAGTTTTGTGTGCTGAGAGTGACTAACGAGAACGCAAAGACGATAGGTTTTCTGACGCACTGCTATGTCTTATTGGTTGTTCTTGTCCTACAGAGTTTCGCGTCACGCGAGGGGGAATGTTATTAGTAAGTGGCCCACGTCTAAAAGTGGCCCACTCTACCAATCTATTGCGTCTCTGTCTGCGCTGATAACTATATAACGCAATAATAGCAGCCTTAGCAGACTTCTTATTAAGGCAGGCTTCTACTAGCATTACGTATGCTCTAAGAGAAATGTGTTCCTAGCGAGCGTTAATTTGCCTTGTTTTTTAATGCTCTACGGATACTTCGACGCTGCCTCCACCGTACGTAGCTACGATTAGGGACAGCATATGTTAATTAATAGCTATTGTATGTTGAAAAGCAGTCCCTTGCATTAAAAGAATGCGTGGGAATAGATTAGTTGCTATTGAGTTTTTCGCTCTATCGGCGCTATCTAGATCTTCTTAAACTAAAACTAGTCCCTGCGACAGATCGTAATGGTCGTAGAGCTGACATGAAAATAAAATATAGTTCTACTCCATACTTCTGCGTAGAAATTTAGCTTAATTTAATATTACTCTGGGAGTCCTAGACTATAGCTTATTGAAGTGATATGGATTTGTCCGCTCTATGTACTTTTAATTAGTGAAAAACTAGAGAGTTTATTGACTGCGCTGTTAGTTAAAAAGAGAGGAGAAAGATCTCGCAGTTTGATTGGACGGTCGTAAGGCCATCCACCCGCTGGAAGCTTGCCTAGCGCAAAGACAAGAAGCTAAAAGAAGCTCTACTCTATGAGCGAAAGATTGAGAATCGACCATAACTGGGAATAATGCAGCAGCCCGGTGATTTTTATAATGGAGCTAGTTTCTGGTTACCACGGAAGATTCGAGAAACTCGCGAGCTCTATAAGAAGAAGTAGTGTGATTAAGAGCGATAACAACACTAGAACGCTACTATAATAAAGACTTAAGATGAGGTAGAGCTTAAAAAGGAGCAAGATTACGATGCACAGCGTCGTGCTCGGGTGGAGGCAAAGTTGCTGAAAGAGGATTGGAGGGCAATTGCAGCCGCTGAGCGAGCGGCTCGCAGATCTGCAAAATGACTTTAAGAAATTCTTGAAGCTTCTAGAAGAGATAAGAAGAATAGTTTTGAAGTTCGCGCAAAGCTTTCGAAGAGAAACAACCGCCAATGATCCGTAGTAGTGGTGGTAAGTCATTAGATCACTTGAGTAGCCCACCACCTGTGCGAACGTGGCGTGGCTGCGATATCAAATTATTAGCCAGAACATAACAAGTGAACTATCTGCATGGCCTAATAAGGAATCTTTTGATAAACGTTTTTGTGTGGTGCTTTATAGCCTCAGCTTTTTGGTGGTGACAGTGTTCGGTGGTGCTGCGCTTTGTCGTCTGGGCACTTCGCCGCTCGGCACAATACCTATCTGCAGCCCTGGATGTCGCGACTCAAGCCGAGCAGGATATAATTAAATAATTAATCTACCTAAGAGCGATATGATTCTAACTCTAAAGATCTGCTAGTTATTGAATAGGACCTTCTTTAGACACTGCGACTGCAATCTAAATCCTTAGCTTTGCGGTTCTATTGGGGAGCTAAAATTGGCGTGTCTGTGCACTCGTAAATGTTAAGCGCCGACAATGACTAGCACTTGCCTGATAACGTTAAGACTTAACAATGTGCGGGGTACCTCCCTGGCGGTTAATATGGCCTTTTGCCCTCGTAGATGCCTTTTGCCCTCCTGCTGCCCATATACGGTCCGTTCCGTTAGGGCGATAAGAGACCTAACTTCTTAAGACTATGCTTCTATGGCGTCCTCTACATCTTCTTGAAGCAGGAGCTTTAGGCATGGTCTTTTAGAGAAGTTACATCGTTTTCGTCGGAAACTCCACCATCCTGATAATGGCCAAACAACATCGCTGCAGAACCTTGATATATCTTAGTTAGTTCTACATATTATCTAGTGTATTTAGCTAAACAAGCAAGGAATTCCTACTTATAAGCGAATGGAGTGTTGACGAACTCGACTGTAGCTGGTTCTAATAGTGTCTAGGCCTGAATAAGTTAAATCTGTCTCCATTCAGATCACCTCGCGCAATCTCTCAATCCATCAAACCTCGAACACGACACTCGGTGTACAATCCCATCATCTAATCTTTAGAGTAAAGCATATCGTGAGGCTGTAGAAAGTCTTAGAAAGAACATTAATATAGCCATTCTCGCGAGCAGCAGTACTACCCAGCTGTTTGCAGAACTTAAAGGCATTAATAAAGAAAAAACTCAACAATCAGCTTTCCTGCGCGGTGTGGCCTATCTACGCTCTATACAGGTACCGCTCGAAAGATTCAAGCTTACATTAGACCTAGCGTCTCCTCTTAGTAATTTGGATCCAACAGCGTCAACCATCATTGGTGTTGCTAGGAGTGTAACAGCAGTACGTATAACATTAGATTTTGGCATTCACGAAACGATTATAACTAACCTAATTGGACATAGATTGCAATAACCTTAGCAACTACAGATTTAGAATTTGCAAAGCAAATTAGTGAGATGTTGAAGCAAATTTCCTATATTAATAATTGCGACACGCTTAGACAGAGAGTGAATAAGACTAACATTCATGAGGTAACTCGTCTCACAAATTTCTGACGGCTCTCTAACACTCTATAGGCACTTGTTTATGTTTACCAAAAGCTCCTGGAATTTTACAGGGTTGCCTACGATATACTCATACAGAGAGGAAGGAAGTTGGTGATAAAGATAGTTTTAGAGACTAATCGTCTGCCAAACATCATCCAAGACTTCTTAGGACGTGCCGAAGTTCTTCGAAAACTTATCGAGAAATCTACATAAGAGATTGTTAAGGATATCAAGTCTATGCTTTATAATCGTAAGAGTAAGTTAGTGCTGACCTATGCACGATAGATACACACTAATGCAATTCCAGTTGCCAGATGGCTAGACAGCAGCCGATTGAATCAGCAGGTCCGATACCACAACCATTTAAAAGAGCTTCGAAGCGATAAGGCTTACAGGTTCCTACTCGAGCATCCTAACTTTATCCAATGGTATAAAACCTCCAAATCTCAACAACTAGTAGTTCTTAGTAAAATGAGCTACGGCAAAACGGTTACTATGGCATTCGTTGTAGATAAGTTGAATCAAAAGAATGCATACCAGATACCTAGGCCGAAGGTGTGCTACTACTACTGCCAAGACGACGGAAGTGGACAAGTCGTCAACATCTTATCAGGACTAATTCTCGCGCTTCTTAAACAGCTACCTGGCCTAAAGAAGACATTTTACGAATGGTACAAAGAAAATCAAACTTCCGAAACCCTTGAGCCAGCAACAAGTGCCAGCAAGCTAGGAGAATTTTTAGAATTGGTTATGGCGACATTCGATCGTATGCTCTTCATTATCATCGATAGACTTGATGAGTGCGACAGAATCTCAAGAAGAACACTTTTGCGAGTACTAGAAGACTTGCTGAAGAAAACCCCACAGCTTAAGATTCTCTTATCTTCACGACCTAAAGAGAAAATTATAGCGCAGCTCGGAAAAACGACTAAAATCTCTATAGAGTCCAGCATTTACAGAGATACTATCATCGTCCGGCATACAGTGCAGAAGCAATTGCCCTATTTGTCAGAGACTGTCAGGGAACTTATTGTCGAAAGTTTGTCTCGTTCCGCGCAAGGAAGTGCCATTTGGACGAAAATGACTGTTGAACTCATTAAAGTACGCAAGATCAACGCGCTCGCACCAATGCGACTATTCCTAGGCAATATGTCTTTGCCAGGCCACCTTTCAGAGCTTTATACGACTTTACTCTCACGAAACTCGTCAAATGATACCAAAAATCGAGAGCTCGCAGCTTTAGCTTTGAAGCTTCTCGCAGCTGCATGTAGGCCTCTCAGTATCCAAGAGCTTACTTGGGCTGTAGCGTTGGCTGTTAACCACCACGACATCAACACTGTCACTGCTCTCGCAGAATCTGTAGACCATCAGAGAGTGATAAGCCTAATATATCCATTCATCACTCGAGTAGATTTTACAGATCTCAGAAAGCGTTAGGTCCAACTTGTTCATCAGTCGGTGAAGGAATTCATAATACGAGACTAGTCACATCTCAAAGAATTCGATATATCGACAGCGCCTAATGCTCCTCGAACTAAGCGTTTAGAAGTGTTTATGTTAGAAATATACATAAAATATCTTCTGTTGCAAGAAATTGGCACTATCCCACTCTTCTCTAATAAGCAAATCGCAATCAACGAGCTCCCTTAAGAAGTTAACCTATTTAAGAACCAAAAATCTTTCGAGTACGATGTTAATTGTACATAGGAAGTGTGGAAAGAAGACATAATACGCTATGACCCGACTAAGCGTAGCTTTAGTGAATTCTTCGTTTACGCATCCAGCCACTAGCTCAAACATTTTAGCGCCATCGGAAACGAACCTTTTCCATATTTAGGAAAGCTACAAAGATTGTATCAAGTGGGCTCGATGCGACTGCATAACTAGATCAATCAGAATTGTCGCCCAGGCTGCGCGATTAAGGCCAGATTCGATTTTAATAGTCGTTTACACGATCCTCTTAGCATTGCTTCACTTTACGGCTCAGATTCAATCCTCTACTACATGCTCGAGAATTCAGATTTTAATGCAGACAATTACCTTCCTTCAACAGCCTTAAATGCTGCCGATCAAATATTGCAGTGGGGTGATCTATCAAAGCTTAGAATACTCTTCTTCAATGGCAAGATCTATCATCAACTTCAGGATCTTCAGTTCTTCCAACTCATTATTAAGAGATGGTTCCAATCTAGATCTCGCCATGAGAATTGGGCAGAAGCTTTTGATCTTGTAGATAGTGTGCTGGACACACTTGTAGATAGGCAGTGGGGTAACGAGCTTCTTTGCGTAGCGGCCCAGGCTGGTTATTTACCAATGATTCAGCGGTTGTTAAACCAAGCAAAATAGATAGAAGTGCTGAAAACTAAATTGTGGCGTAACTCACGACCAATCAGTGAAGCTATACTGGGAAACCATGTCGTTGCACTAGAATATTTGCTCGATGGGATGTGCTTAGAATTAGACGTTCTAAGCCGAAATTCCGAACGTGAAAATCTGTTGGGTATAGCATCTGCCCACAGTAACCCAGCGATTTTGCGTCTTTTGGCGCCCCGCCTGTAGATTTTCATACAATAGGCTGATATTCATGGCAATCCGGTTCTCATGTAGAATATTACGAGTGAATTAGACTCCTACGGCCGGCATGAGGCTGCAAAGTCACTCCTTTGGTATATCTGTAATCATTCGACTGCTCACATTACACGTCCTCAATGTCTTCCTTTAAGGGGTTACATCGGCATAAGAAAACCATATGTGTAAGGCTGTCGTAAACAGTGTGATACAGGTCAGGATCATCCCTCGTGCTCCTATACAAGACTGCCTGGGAACAGACCGCCTTTGCGTTCTCGACGTCGGTATTGGTACCCGTGATCGCCATGCGGAAGCAGTAGGTGCTCTCGTTCTTGATAACTATGACTAATTATAACTTCAGAGTCTCCTTGTCCCGGCTCTTCGATATAGGTAGTATAGTTTTGGTTGGTCTCATGCGAGAGCTCAAGAACACATTGAGCTATTAAGCCATGTAGGCTGTTTCGAGTTACTCTCCCAGAAAGCCACCTAGGATAATATTCATCATACCTCGGCATCGCGTGACAGAACAACTGGCTGTAACTTTCCGCAGTCAACCTCTAGGGTGCAGCTCAGAAAGCCAATACAAGTACCAAAATTGAGAGCAACTACGTCGCTGTAGTAGAGAGATTCCCATGGAAGTACAGCTCATATATCTGTCTAGACACGAAAACGAGAACTGTCTCACAAGAATGCTGGAAGAGTGACAACACGTTGTTAGTAAACACGACAATGATGCAGCTAACCGTTTGTTGAGGAAGCACACAACACGGTTACCAACACTAGGGACATTTTGATTGAACAACTCACGCCACCTGTGAAAAGCTCAATCGCTATGTCAAGTTTTGGATTTTCTTCATAATCCAAGACGACAATCTAGGTCTAGCAGCAACTATAAGAACGTCTAGGGGACACAGTTCCGTGAATTTCTTGAGCATGTCGTTGCAAGTGCGTCTTGTCTACCAAGGGCACCATACAAAGCTTGCAGCCAAGACCCCTCCCACTCTGGATGTTTTTTAGGTGCTTGCGTCCAAAATGCTTGCTAAGATCGCCTGGAGTGCT